CCAAAACCCTAAACCCTATAAACCCCAAACCCTAAACCCTAAACCCTAAACCCTAAACCTGGGCGAGGCCGGGCTGAGCCGGAGGCGAAGCCAAGGCCAAATCGGCTCGATGCACACCGCCCCGTCGGAGCGCCTTTTACGGGGGTTTGGGGCTTTTTGGGGTTTTTGTTGGGGCTTTTGGGTTTTTGGGTTTCTTTTGGGCTTTTAGGTTTTTTTAGGGTGTTTTACGGTTTTTAAGGGTATTTTGGGGCTTTTAGGGTGTTAGGGTTTTTATGGCTTTTAGTGTTTTTAGGTTTTGTAGGGTTTCTAGGGCGTTTAGGGTTTTTAAGGTTTTGGGTTTCTTTTATTGTTTTAAGGGTGGTTAGGTTTTTTTTTGAAGTGTTTTAGGCTTCAGGGTTTAGGGCTTATAGGCTTAATTATAGGGGGTTGAGGGTTTGGTTCTGGGTTTACAGGGTTTGTAGAGTTTGTAAGGTTTATGGGGGGTTCTGGGTGTATAGGGCTTGCAGGGTTTGTAAGGTTTACAGGGTTTGTAAGGTTTAAGGGGTTTTGGAAGTTTTTTGGGTTTTGGGTTTCAGGGGGGCTCCTGCACAATTTTCAAGTCGTGAAGCCCTAAACCCTAAACCCTAAACCCTTAACCTTAAACCCTAAACCCTAAAGCCCTAAAGTTCTTGAAGCCCCCACTTAGTCAAATAATTTGCTAAGAAATATTCAACATACCCCTTGGGCATACCCCTTAAACGAAACTAAGGGGTATGGTAACATCTGTCCTTACATTTTCCTTGTAAAGGGAGTATGGGTTTGGGATATGTTGAATTTTGCCGCAGGAAATTCCCAGAAGCAACAATGGGCACGCTTTTCTCCGAGCTTTCTGCGGGAACTTGGTTCTCGAAGGTGCACACCCATGCAGAAGCACTCATCTGTACTGGGAGGAGGGGGAAGAGGGGACTCCCACACATCAAAAAAAGTACATGCTTGGCGGAGGCTCAAAACGTTTATTCTGTTGTACTCAGTACGAGGTAAACAAACGCACATATGTATATATATATATATATATATATATTTGTATGTATATATATATATATATATATGGTGGCACATTTTTGTTTGTGATATGAACTCGTCCATGTGTGCTGACTTGCCTATAAGGGTCCATCCGCTCATATAGCGTATGCTTGGGCCTTCAAGCTGTTCCGAATTTGCGAATTTGTAGATTTTAGGGCCCAAATAAATACCCTTGTCTCAGTCGTAGAGGGGAACCCTCAACCCTGGACCTAAATCATACACCCTTTGCCCTAAACCCTATACTACATGGGCACGTGGTTCTGTAGGGTTCGTCGTAGGGCAGGGGAAGCGTGCGGGCCCATGTACAAGTCTAAACCCTACAGGGCAAAAACCCGAAAGCCCGCCCAGGGCCCGAGAAACATCCTGAACTCCCCGAAGGCCCCTAACTCCTCAACCCTTGACCCCTATATTCCCTCAACACCCTAATTTTTTTAAGTACCCTAAATACCCTAAATACCCTTAATCGCAGGAACTCGGCCTGTTGCCAGCCAGCCCCGATCTCCTCGCGGCACTCAAGGACCTCAACACCTTCGCAGCGCTTGGGGGTTTCGGGGCTTCGAGGGCCTTAGGGCATTATAGGGTTTAGGGTTTAGGGTTTAGGGTGTGGGGTTTAGGGTTTAGGGCTAAGGATTCAGGGCTTAGGGAAGTCGGTAGTAGGAGTTTTTGGGTTTAGGGTATTACGCTACTGGGGCATCAGAGCGGTGAAGGATTGAAGTTTTGGGAAGAAGGGGTCGTATGGCAGTAGGTTTCTTAGGGTAGTATATAGGGTTCTTAAGGCCTTCATGGGACGAAAGGAGGGACCCTTATAAGGGGCCTTAGGGGTGATGTAGGGGCTACTTCGGCATAATTTTGTGCATCAAGGTATGTTTGGGGGTTGTATAGGAGTAAGGGTCCCTTGTAGGGGTCCCTCCTTAAAAGATAGTGTAGGTGTTGGCGTTTAGGGTTCTTTCGGGTACGGGCCGAGATTGGTTAAGAATTCGGGGAGAGCAGTGCAAGTGCGAATCTTCAACTCAACCTCAAACCCTAAACCCTGAAGCCCCAACCGCTCCCCCCCCCCTTTTTTGTGTGTGCGTGGCAGTGCAGAAGCATAAGATGACCATTAGTAGGCTACGCTGCACAAACCACGCAGGGAAACAAGACAGAACCGCCACGCCTGACGTGGAATGGGAACCTAAACGGGGTTTCCCAAAATAGGATACCCTTTTTTGGGGGTTGTAGAATGAGAAGTTCAGTGTTTTGAGGGTGTATTAGGGGCACTCCTGTCTGAAAACTGCCCAAATCATCCATCACGTTTTCTGCATGTCTTTTCACAGTATGGAAATGAGATGCCAGACACCTTCATAATGGATTGATCCATCTAACCGAGTTCCTTCGCTACGTGGCTTCTGTCAGCGCAGGCCACGCAGGACCCAGAGTGGCATCAGCTTTTCGACGGCAGATGCAGATCGCTGCAACCCACTGGGGCATTTCGGACGCCTGGCCACAGTTGCTTCGGGTTTTGGGTTTAGGGTGTAGGGCCGCAGTTGCAAATTTTCAATCATGCCCCTGTAGTTTCCTTACCCCCTTTGGGTAGGTCTACGTTCCCTGACCAACCCCCCCGCCCCCCCCTAAACCCTAAACCCTAAGCCTCTGCATTCCTGAGTCAATTGCTGGGCAACCTTCTGTCTGATTTTGGGGGGAGGGAGCCTAGGCAGCGCGACCAGTGCAATCCGCACAGTCCTTAGGCCTTGGAACCCGAAACGCGAAAGCCCTAAAGTAAAAGACTCCACAGCCCTTCACTAGCCAACCTCACTTTCTGAGAGCAGGGGTTAGGATTTAGGGTCTAGGGTTTAGGGTTTAAGGTGAGTTTTGTGTGGTCACACGCATGAGGTGGGAATTGCCCAGCAGAGTTACCCTAATAAACCCCCAAGATACTTGTGTTTAAGAACCCCACACACACAATACGAAGGCATAACTTTCCCCTGCCGACATACTTGTGCCGAAGAATTCCCCACAAACAATACAAAGGCATGCCTTTGGGAAACCTCCACATTAAAGTCGTACAGCCACCTCTCCCCTTCGGATTGTTCTTGTCTGCGCTTCTTTGAAGCTCTGTCTCTGTCTCCGTCTCTGTCTCTGTGTGTGTGTGTGGGTCTGTGTGGGTGAGTGGGTGTGTGGGTGTGTGGGCTGTGGGTGTGCGGGTGCGTATGCGTGAACCCTGTTCTTTTGGTTGAGGTTTTACGTTTTCGGGCATGTAGTTTAGTCTTGCTGGCCTTTGGCTGAAGTGTGCCACAATATTAGGCAGACAAGGCCGTATGGAGCCACAAATTCGCTTTAGGGTTTAGGGGTTAGGGTTTAGGGATTAGGGTATAGGGTTTAGGCGGTTTCAGCGTGCCCACACAGCCACCTGTTTCTCCTCTTTCGGCATGCCTATAACCTTCTTTGCATATGTGTCTTTCTCAAAAAAGTATGTACCCAACCAAGGCAGCACATTGGGATGTCCCTAAACCTACGCATTGCTTAAGAACCCCACAAGAATATGACTATTCTTCCTGAGAAGGGTAGTATAGGGATTATCATGTTTGTTTTTTGGGGCTTCTTAAGCAAGCAGTAGAAACCCGAAACCCGGGACGTCTAAGTTGGGGCCATGTGTCTTGGCAGAGCGAGATCCGAAGTAAATGCCCGCCGTTAAGCCCCAAAACCCTAAACCCTAAACCCTAAACCCTAAACCCTAAACCCTAAACCCTAAACGCCTGAGTGAGATCCTCAAAGGATGCCACACTGTGTGTGTGTGTGTGTGCTTTTTTCAAGGGGCATCCTACAGAGCTCTTGGGAGTTTGAAGTTCGCAGACGGTGGCTTGGGGGTTTAGGGTTTGGGGTTTAGGGTTTAGGGTTTAGGGTTTAGGGCTTAGGGTTTAGAATGGCCCAAAACCCTGTTGTGTTGCTTGAAGGCCGTGATCACAATATCACCCCTAAATCCTACGCCCGAAACCCCTAAACCCTAAACCCTAAACCCTAAAAACCCTTAGGCAGGACTTTCCGGCCACCTACTGGTACGCTTTGGGTGCTTAAGGCAGGTTCTAGGCCAGGGAGACCCTGAAGATGCTTCCTTTGTTTCGCTTAGGGTTTAGGGTTTAGGGTTTAGGGTTCAGGGTTTAGGATCTAGGGTTTAGGGTTTAGGGTTTAGGGTAATTGCCCAAGTTGTAGAGTCCTTGAGGGAGGCAGGTCCAGGGTATTTTCAACCCTTCCAGAGGAGTTTAGGGGCCCAGACCCTTCCAAGACACGCCTGCATGCGTTGAGAGCCCAAGGATTATGTGGGACCTCTGCGGAACTATGCTGATCCTGGCCTTAAGAGCAGGAGCATGTAGGGTTGAGGGTTTAGGGTCTAGGCCCTTGGGCTATGTCACATGTTCCCTTGTTTAAGTTCAAGAGGGTCATTCATTTTTTGCACTTGGGAATCTAGGACCCAGAGTAGACCCATATTCCTTTTTGTTAGGGTTTGGGTTCCCTGAGAAGCCCCTAAACCCTAAACCCTAGACCTTTAAACCAAAAAGGGGCACCCTTTGTATTCCTAGGTTGGTTGCTCCTGGGTCTGGAATATTTGTTGGAGGGTTCGAAGGGCCAGCCTGGATGAGTGTCACAGAGCTTGCCGGATACCCCAATTCCCCTCAGCGAAGGAATATTCTGACAAGTCAAGGGCCGACCTAAACCCTAAACCCCTAACCCCTAAAGAGTATCACCACATCTTGCGCCTCTCCGCCCTAAGCTCAAGGTAAGACTACGGCCCCCACACGTAAATCCCCCAAAACATGTTAGGGTTTTGGGTTGCAGCCTAAGGGCTTAGGGCTTTGCGTTTAGGGTTTAGGGTATGTAGTAGAGCACTATCCGTCGTAAGCCCCTGCACTCGCTTCACACGCCTGGACACAGAGGAACTTGAGGCGAGATGTGATTTCCAGCTGGAGTTCCCTAAGCCCTAAACCCTAAACCCTAAACCCTAACCCTAAACCCTAAACCCTAAACCCTAAACCAGCCCCTGCAGTGGTACCCTTGTTTCCCATTATTGGCTCAAGGTTCCCTTATAACCAACCCTTGTCAGAATGTAGTTTCTGGGCTACCACTTGGAGGTTCATGGTACGTATGAACCCAATTATGTGTGTACTCAGAACCCAGTCTTAGCCATATTCGGGCACTTAAGGGGCATATACTTGGGTGCAGATATATCTTAGGTTACAAGCACCATGAACCTCCAAGCAAGCCGCTGCGAAAGAGTCACGAAGTTAAATGGCCCCACAACATTTTCGACACGGCAAGCAGCGCGGAAAGGGGTCTGGGATTCAGGGCTTTGTGGCTCAGCAAAGCTCAGGGTCTAGGGAGCCTAGGGCTTAGGGTTTAATTCGGGCCTAGGATTGAGGGTTTATGGCCTCTCTCTCTCTCTCTCTCTCTGTCGCTCTGTCGCTCTCTCTCTCCCTCTCTCTATATATATATATATATATGTGTATATGTATATACACATGTGTATGTATATATATATATGTACCATATGTATATACTTATATGTATATATATGTGTATATATATATACATCGATGTATGTATATAGGGTTTAGGGTTTAGGGTGGAGGGTTCAGGGCAAGTTTGGCCTTCTTCTGCATCCACCCGCACTTTGGTCAATGCTTGCCGTCGCCAGACCGACCGTGGGCTGAGTCTGTTGACCTTAAGCACCAGAAGCCAAACCCAGGGTTTAGGGTTTAGGTTTAGGGTTTAGGGTTTAGGGTTTAGGGTTTAGGGTTTAGGGCTCGGGGCATCGCTGTATTAGTTCCTAAAGGCATGTGCCCCTAAAAAGTAGATACTTAGACACAACAAAGGGTTTCGCATCCGGTGCCGCGCTGAAAGATCCCAGACCCTGCCGAGGCTCATCAAGGACATCGTTGCGCTGCCCTTGCTGCTGGCCATGTCGGTCCGAATCGAGGAGCTCTTCACCAGCTGGAGGTACCCAAACATAAGCCCTAAACCCCTGAACCCCTAAACCCCCAACCAGAATTTCTAAACTTGAACCAAAGGGTCTAAGGCCAAGCCTTATTGGTTGGAGTTTGTTGGCGGTTTAGGGGGTTTAGGGTCTAGGTAGGGTTTAGAGTTTAGGGTTTAGAGAAGGGCCTGGAAGGGCATTGTGGTGCGTCAAGTTCAGGTAGCTTTTCGGCTGCCAAGATTGATGCTGGTCGAGGGCTCAGGGTTTAGGGTTTAAGGGTGTCCTAAGGGCCCTTAGGAATTTAGGGTTTAGGGATCAGGGTTTAGGGTTTAGGGTTTTGGGGTAGTTATAGTCCCTTAACATGGTCCCTTACCTCCTTGGAAGGGTTCTGAAGTATGGGCCCTTGGGCATTTAAGAAATATATAAGCAGCCCCAATTTAAGGGGACCAGGTAACTACCCCTAACGGGTTCGGTGTTCAGGCTTTAAGGTTTAGGAGTTTTTTTTTGGATGCTTAGGGGAAGTTGTGCGTGTGTGTGTGTGCGTTGGATTGGTTGGTCGTTTGGGAACTGTAGGGTTCCCTGTCTAGGGTTTAGGGTTTAGGGTTAGGGTTTAGGGTTTTGGGTTTTGGGTTTCGGGTTTAGGGTTTAGGGTTCCCTGTCCAGGTACTTGTCCATGGTTGGCACGATCTACTGGAGTATGGACATTTGCCTGTCATTCTTCACTGGCTACTACCACAAGGCGGGTTATGCGTTAACCTTAAGGCCCGAACCCCGAAACCCTAAGCCCCTGGGGCTTAGGAAGACTTTGGGTTTGGGGGGGGGGGGGGGGTGGGGGGGTAGGGCCTAGAGCTGGCCCAAACCCTAAACCCTAAATCCTAAACCCTAAATGCTAAACCCTAAACCCTAAAACCTAAACCCTGAAGGGCCTGAGGGGGGGGAGAGGGGTGGACGGCTCAACCCCTAAGAAGTGGTAGCCTGGCAGCCCTGGGTCTGAAGGGTTAAAATTTAGGGGTTTGGGTTTAGATAGGTTTAGGGCTTTTTAGATTTCGGGGCGCCCTCTACATGCCACAAATTTCTCAACCAAGCAGCCATGTGAAATCTGCAAGCCCTAAACCCTGCCCTTAACCTGAAGGCCTAAGCCCTGAGCCCTAAACCCTAAGCCCTAAGCGTGACGCCCTTAACCCTAAGCCCTTAGCCCTTAGTGCCCTTAGCCCAAGCTTTGAACCCCAAGTCCTACACCCCAAACCCTAAAGGTTTAGGGTTTAGAGTTTAGGGGTTTAGGGGTTTAGGGGCTTATTTTAGGGTTGAGGGTTTAGTAAAGCCTGAAACTCAAGGGATTCAGACTCGCACCCCTAAGGTTGTAACCCTAAAGGTTCTCCTTAACTTGCTCCTTATATGGTGGCCCTTATATTTGCTTAAAGGATCCTTAACAAGGGACCCCGAATCCCAAGGGTACAATCTTAAGGTCCAGGGTAGAACCCCTAGAAAACCCAGAACCCTCCAACCCTGGCTGGGGAAGTCTCAACCCTAAACCCTAAACCCTAACCCTAAACCCTAAACCCTAAACCCTAAATCCTAAACCCTAAACCCTAAACCCTAGCCCTAAACCCTAAACTCTCAAGACGCAGGGTTCCCTCGTCAGCGACGTGCCAAAGATCGCCTGGGTTTACTTCAAGTCCTGGTTTTTGACACATGGCTTCGACATTGGTATCTAGGTTTGTGGTTTAGGGCTTATAGGGTTTTAGGGTTTAAGGGCTTATAGGCTTTTTGGGTTTCAGGGTTTAGGGTTTTACGGTTTTTGGGTTTTTCGGTTTTTCGGTTTTTGGGTTTTTGGGTTTTAGGGGCTGAGGGTTTTAGGGTTTTAGGGTGTTCGGGTTTAGGGTTTGAGGGTTTTAGGGTGTTCGGTTTTAGGGTTTTGGGGTTTTCGGGTTTTAGGGTTTTAGGGTTGTAGGGTTTTAGGGCTTTAGGGCTTTAGGGCTTTAGGGCTTTAGGGCCTTAGGGCCTTAGGGTTTTGGTCCGTCCGCAGTCGTTGCTTCTTGTGGGAGTGCTGCTTTTGTGGCAACAAAGTCATTTCACCGCCAACTCACTCGCTGCGACCCTTGGTGTCCGTCGCCGCATCTGACATGAAGCTTGAGACCAGCTGGGTGTGATGGCCGCCAAGAAATCTTCCAGGAGAGGTCTGTTGTCCAGGCGTTTACTCACACCAGCTTACCAGGGCCTCGGATTTATGTACAACACCAATCTCATTATGGTTCTCCTTGATCTGCTTTTTGACGCGCATCCCACGGGAACCCCCCTTATAGGCAGGGCCGCGCGCATGACACGCAAAACCAACAAACAGTGTCAAGAAATAGACGAACACGACTTAGAGATCTTACCCGCCAGGCCTACGGGGCTTAACAAGGGGCTTAGGGTTTAGGGGTTTAGGGTGTAGGGGTTTATGGTTTAGGGGTTGGTGGTTGTTTGTTTTTTGGCGAGGGTTTGTTGGCGGTTTGGTTTGAGTCGGGGTTCCTTGGGTTCAATGGTTCAGCCCAAGGTCCCGAAATTAAGCTAAAACCGAGAAGCAAACTCCCGACTTTCGTTTCCTGAGCAGAAGCATTACTTAGACAGCAAAATGCCTAAACCCTGGATACTTAAACGTCGGGGTGAACACACAACCCACTTTCAAGCGTGCCCTAATATGGTTATAATTGGGTTATAAGTACCCTGAAGCCGAAACCCCAAACCCTAAACCCTGAACCCTAAATTGGGCTAATATGTAGCCTGAACTTCTAAGTATCGCCGGGTGTCGGGCCCTGGACCTTCTGCCATGTCTGGCGGGACATTGGTGGCTCAGGCGTGCTAAGCAGTTTGTTCGGGCGTGTTCACAAGCAACATCGACCTATTTCTTTGTCATAGTTGATTGAAGTTTTTTAATGCTATCCGAATTATGAACTAGATTTCAACCCTAGATACTCAAACCTTAAAAACTTCAACCCTAAGTACTTACTACCAAAATCCCTAGGTGCCGCCGACATCTGAAGCCCCTACAAACCCTAATGTTTAGGGTCTTCGCACCCGGGTTGAATCTTGCTTGGAGGTTCATGGTACTTCTTAGCCAATGAGAACTGTACTTATAACCCACAGTGCCCTAATAATCAACAGGGTCATAAGTACAGGTACCATTGGGTCGATAAGTACCCTGAACCTCCAAGTAGGGTAGTTGCTTGGGCCCGCCTTAAAATGGTCCCTAACCTCCTTTGAACCCTGATGTATGGGCGCTTAATTTGTATAGGGTATATTCGTCTAAAGAAGGGATCCCCTTTTAACGGCACATTTTTTCGGGACCATGTAACTGCCTTCAGATTTAAGGGTACGTACTCTTGGCCCACGCGCCTGATTCGAAGTGCCGTCAAAAGGTTGTAGGTTCTTAGGGTAAGCACCCTTGGACCCTACAAATTCTACAAAACTCCATAACCCTAAAACCCTACAAAACCTACAAGCCCTATAAACCCTTTTGAATCCCTATAAACCCTCATAAAAACCTAATAAACCTACCCGAAACCCTAAACCCTAAACCCTTAGAAACCCCTATAGACCTTATAAACCCTATAAACCCTGACGACCCAACCCTACAAACCCTAGATAAACCCTATACAAACCCTATACAAACCCTTACAAGCCCTACAAACCTTGACCCAGGATTGACCTTTTCCTGAACCCTAAACCCTATAAACCTTAATAAACCCCTTGTTTAACCCTACAAACCCTGACGACCCAGGATTGACCTTTTCCTGACTGCCTTGGACATCAGTGTCGAATTGGGAGCAGACCTCGGTGAAGCTGCATCTAGGCTGGAGCTTCCACGCAGAGGGCTTCGGGGTTTAGGGTTTAGGGTTTAGGGTTTAGGGTACCCTAAACCGCACACCCGAAACCCGAAACCCTAAACCCTAAACCCTAAACCTCTTTGGGATGGAAGGTTCAGGGTGCCATCAAGGTCCCAGAATTCTTCCCCCCCCCATCCTCCCCCCCCCCCCATGGTCTTGTCAGGGATACGAACTCCTGACTAAAGCCCAAGACCACCCCTGAATCCTCAGCCCTAGACCCTCAACCCATTTCCTGCAGGTGTACGTAGAGGTCTTGCCATACTCTAAAACTTGGCGGCGCGCAGTCTGTCCCACATGCTTTGGGAGACAACCCACCCTTCAAGCCAAAAGCAAGACCATGGTAGAGAGTGAATAGGGTTCGCGATGTAGGGTTCAGCGCTGTATGATTTCAGCCTTGTGTACTGTTCAGGCGCTTCTATATAGGCTTGTAAGTATCAATGTCCTGAAATGCCGAACACGAGCATGGCAAGACCCATAGCAAAGCCTAAACCCTGCTAACCCCTCAAACCCCAAACCCTCAGCCCACAGCTGAGTTTGTGGCCGTCCGATTTCTGCGGTTCCTGCGCTTCATACGCCTTCTTCGCTGGGATAAGTTCAGCCAGATCTCGGTATTCTTCCAGGAGCCTCTGCCGCTCCACGTGTGGAGCTCGACACTTCCACCGTTTAGGGTTTAGGGTTTAGGGTTTAGGGTTTAGGGTTTAGGGTATAGGGTCTAGGGTCTAGGGTTTAGGGCACACACACACACACACGCACACACACACACACGCCCCAAACGCACACTCCCCAACACTCAGCCCAGACTCCCCCGAGCACTGAGTTACCCCGTGCAGTCTGAACCCTCGACCCCAAACCCCACACCTAGAAGCTCCCGGCTTAGCTCGGGAAAATGGGGCTTTCTACAGCGTCAGCCCTACACCCTAAACCCTACCGCCACGCCCCCCCCGCCCCCCTTTGTTCCTGCACAAACAAAAGAAAACACCTTGAACCCTTAGCGGACCCCCTAGACCCTAAACCCTCTGTGCCCCAAACCCCCCCCCCCCCCCAATTTGCTAGGCTGCTCAAAGCCCAGCTGCTGTTGCTGTGTAGGGGTTTGGGAGTTTGGGGGTTTGGGGGTTTGGGAGTTTGGGGGTTTGGGAGGGGGTGTGGGAGTTTGTAGGGCACTGTTTGGGTTTAGGCGAGGGAGGACGGGAAGGTAGGCAATTAGGCACCCTGTATAAACCCGTGGAGGGTATAAAGAGGGGGAGATAGGGTACCTAATTCCGTGATTCCTTGCCAAGGTTATAAGAACCAGTAAGAAAACCACAGTAAATCCTATACAACATGTAAACATACTTAGCACATCATATAGCATGGTACCCTAAACCCTAAACCCTAAACCCTATGATTTTAGACGACGATTTCTCCAGCCCTGCACCCCTGTAGGATCAGTTCGATTCGCCGGCAGCTTCCTTGGAGTTCTCCCTGCTCGCGTCCGGGACTCCTTTGTGTACTTGAAGGTTCATGGTGCTCATTGAACCCATTTAGGGTTTAGGGTTTAGGGTTTAGGGTTTAGGGTTTAGGGTTTAGGGTAACTGTCATAAAACCAAATTATAACCCTATGAGGGCACCTAAGGGGCTTGTAGGTGGGTTTTACGAGTACCACGAACCTCCAAGTATACGGTTTTTAGGGGATGGCCTGGGTCCTTGCCAGACTTGACGACCTGCAGTTGTTCGGAACATGTTTGTTTGGGGAGGGGGTGGAAGGCAGGGTTAACCCGAAACTCTAAACCCTAAACTCTAAACCCTAAACCCTAAACCCTAAACCCCAAACCCTAAACCTTGTGAGACTACTTGGAGGCTCATGGTATTAGGGTTACCCATACTTACAACTACTCACCCAAGCCCAGGTTATTTCTCTTGTTCAAGGACCTCCTATCCCTACTATGTGGGGGTTTTATATTAAGGGTCCCTCATTCCCATGCGGGACTTTTCGAGTCTTGGGGCTCTCTTTCGGGGGCGGCCTAGCGAGGTGCAGGAAAACCCTAATCATGCTTCTGTTCCTTATTACCCGAAGCCTGATAACACCCAAAAACCCCAAACTCTACACCCCTAAATCTAAGCCCTATATTCTTATCAGGGCAGTCCTGGAATCATGCGCTCAACGGCTTGATTCTGGCTTTTGGGGGGGGTGTTGGGCTTTGGGGGCTTAGGGTTCAGGCTTCAGGTTTGGGGCTTAGGGTCCAGGGTTTAGGATTTAAAGGCTTTAGGGTATAAAACCCAAGCTGCCCCAACACCGCAAGAGCCCAGAGGTAGTGATGATCGTCATGATGCTCCTGGAGCACGTGATTGCTTGCTGTTGGTTTGGCCTTGGTCGGATGGACTCCCCCACGGGCACGTGGCTCACAAAGTCCATCGTCGCGGATGGCTCCTTCGTGAATCAGTGCTGCTGGCTGCTTTGGGGATTTTTTTTGTTTATGCAATCTATAGGCATCAGCGTTCCGAGAGCTACGTCAGCTAAGTTTCTACAATGGGCATTTTGTTCCCCCGAAAACTGCGAAGCCCTCTAAGACCTGAAGCCCTCTGAACCCTGAACCTCTCTAAACCCTGAAGCCATCTCAAACATGAACCCTAACCCTAAGCCCCTGAACCACTACACCCTTGAGCCTTTTCGAACCCTTAGGCCTATTCAGCCGCCGGGCCTGGGTTGACCCATCTCCACATCGCTGGGGTTTAGGGTTGTTGGCAACCCCAAACCCAAACCGCGTGCGGGGCACTCGCCAGTCCCAGATTTGCTGTCTGGCCCTCCGTGGCCCAGTGGCCCTTGTTTTTTTGCTCTGCAAGTTATCCCTAAACCCTAAGCCTAGGACCCAGAGTAGGCCCTCATTCTCCTTTTTTTAGGCTTTAGGTCGCCTTATTTCCTAAGCTACTCCTGAGTCTAGAAGACTTCAACTTCCAAACCCCAAAACGTGCTCCCTTTGAGCCTAACCACTCTGCACCCAAATTTCGGACGGCTTTGAGGCGTTTCGGCTTTTGATTCTTCAGGGTTGGGTTTTCGGTTCAGACCTTAAACTTACGACTCGGTTGGCCTTTGGGGTGTTTAACTATTTTCCTGAGTTGGGTTTAGAATTGAACCCATAAAACGATATCATAGTTTCAACGGGGTTGAAGGATCTCAACCCTAAACCCTAAACCCTGAACCCTAAACCCTAAACCCTAAACCCTAAACCCTAAACCCTAAACCGAGTTGAAAGGCCAACCCAGACCACATTCTGCCTCAGGTATACTTACAGCCTGCGTTGGGCGCTCTCGCAGCTGGGAATCGGATCCACCGAGATTGAAGCCATCACCGAAACTTGGTTTAGGGGTTAGGGTTTGGGGTTTAGAGTTTGGGGTTTAGGGTTTGGGGTTTGGGGTTTAGGGTTTGGGGTTCAGGGTTTGGGGTTTAGGGTTTGGGGATTAGGGGTGTCCCTTGCCCACGTAGCAGTGTTCGGCGAAACCGGTTTCCATGTGGGTCCTCGTTCAAAGGCCCAACCTGCGGATCCTTGCAAGTACCCTTACTTGAACCAATTACAACTGTACTTCTAACCCACTTATCAGCACCTGAAGTGCCATAATATGGTTATGCTTGGGATGTAGGTACGGCTATTATTGGGTTAATAAGTACCATGAACCTCCAAGCAGGCCCCATCGGGTTTGTGAGCCGGTTCCGTCATTGTGGTTATGACGAATTCTCTTTCTACGGGTTTATGGTTTAGGTTTGGCATGTTCCCCCTTATACTAACAGTCCTTAATAGGGGGTACGAAAATCCCTATGAAGGACTCTGAGTATAAGGGGGAACATCCCTTCAGGTTTAGGGTTTTATCTGCAGCATGCCACAAGATGACGAGCAACATCAGGAGCACAGCGCGCTGCTCCACGCCCCTTGTTATAGGGTTCCTAAGGGAGGGGGGTTCAGGGGGGGTAGGTACCTAGGGAACCTCCCTTCAGAACCCTATAACCTTGCCACTTCCCCCTGATACTAACAGTCCTTGATAGGGATTATCATGCCCCCTTATTGTAATCCTGATTAAAGACTGTAAGTATAAGGGGGAACATCCCAACGTATACCCCTAAAGCGCAAAACCTAAAGCGTTTACAGGTTTCCACCCCCCCCCCCCCCCCCCCCGCAAAAAGCACCGCAAAAGTATATACTTGGGCCTTCAAGGGGTTCCCATATAGTAGATCTAGGGCCCAATTTTTGGCTATGGACCCTTAGGGTGTTGCGATCCCAGGCGCAGGCTCCTCCTCGGTCAGTTTACGCTTCAACAGCTCTGGCTGCAACCCTAAGCCACCAACACACCAGACCACTAAACCCCTGAAATCCCGGAATCCTAAACCCTTAACCCTAACCCATAAACCCTAAACCCACAACTTCCAACCCCAAGTCCTAAAACCCTCTACAACGAGGAAGCCGAGGGGTATTACTCCGTCGCCGTCGCTTTTGTGTCCATCATCATCTTCGCCACCGTGCCTCCCGGCTCGGCCTGAAAAAAACCTTGTCATGCTTGGGGGGCTTCAGGAGGTGTTGGGTGGGGCATCTTTTTGGGGGAGTCTACTCAGAGGCATACATAACATCTATATATATATATATGTGTCATGCTATGCATGCCTTGATTTTTTTTCAGAGGGTGTATGCGACTTCTTACTGTAATTGCAGGGTTAAGCTAAAGGTACTAGGGTAGTGAGGACATGAAGCGGGATAGTTGGCAATGGCCACTCAGTAAGGTTATTGATTTGGGCTTGGGGTACAGCTGCCGGATCAAGCTCAACTTTGGGAAATGCCCGCGAAGGCTACGAAGCATCATAAAGGCCTTGCGCAACCTATTGTTTTTAGCTCCAGAAACAACCCCTTCATTTTGGATCTTCGTCCTTGCCCCTTTCCGCTGAAAAGCCGCGAACATCCCCCAAACCCCGAGCATGATCACACGCTCGAAGCCATAAACCCTACACCCTGACTCCGAAAACCCTAAACCCGAAATCCGAAACCCTAAGCCCTAATTAAAATTCTAAACCCTGAAGCCTAAACCCTAAACCCTAAACCCTAAACCCCAAGCCTTAAACCCTAAACCCTAAACCCTAAACCCTGAACCCTATACCCTAAACCTTCATAGGGTTGGGGCAACCCTATACCCTCTTACAGCCCCAGAGGCTGAGCCCAGCACCAGGCCCCAAATCTTCAGCCCACACTGCTAGCATGCCCGGTTGTCAACCGACCCTTCAGGGTTCAGGGTTTGGGGTTTAGGCTTCAGGGTTTCGGGTTTGAGGTTTAGGGTTTCGGGTTTTATGGTTTAGGGTTTAGGGTTTCTCTACCCCTCCATCCCCCATGCTTGACACCACAAGAATCATCATGCCTTTCATACATAGGCTTGGTACTCGAAAGAACACAATGATCACAACAGAATGATAGCAACCTGCAAGAGCAAGCCCCACAGTAATCCCACCGCTGTGCCGCTGTGCTTATCTTTTGCGCGAGAGGGGGAGGGGGGGGGGGCTATGTGATATGGGGTTTAAGTGGTTTAGGTCAGTTTAGGTAGGGTCCAGGGCCCCAGAAGAAGGTTGCAAAAAGGGTTGGTTTAGGGTTTAGGGTTTAGGGGTTTAGGGTTTAGGGTTTAGGGTTTAGGGACAACCCTCCAAGGGATGGTCTCCTACTGTAAATGCCTGTACCCCAATCGACACCTCAGTTTCGAGGACTGACCCCCAGCCCCAAACCCCAAACCCTAAACCCTAAACCCCAAAACCCCACACCCTAAACCCTAAACCCTAAACCCTAAACCCTAAACCCTAAACCCTAAACCCTAAACCCTAAACCCTAAACCCTAAACCCTAAACCCTAAACCCCTGACATGGGCGTCAAGATTGCCCTATGGCCCTATGACAGCAGGTTAGGTGTATATCTGACGGCTTGGGGCTTCGGGTTGACATGTACCCTGCACCCGAAACCTGAAATCTTCAAGGGTGAAGCTTGGGATGTTCCCCCTTATACTCACAGCCCTCAATATAAGGATTGTAGAACCCCCTATTACAATCGCTATGAAGGACTGTCAGTATAAGGGGGAACATCCCAAGGTGAAGGGGTTTAGTGGCAACATGTAGGGAGTATACTGGCTGACCCTTGCCATAAACCCTAAACCCTAAACCCTAAACCCTAAACCCTAAACGCTACACCCTGTACAGCTACCACATGGGCCACGCGGTCAGTTCCACCAGGCTCAGTTCTATGACCTCCTTGGTCACCGCCCTACACAGTCGCAGGACTGGAGGGCTGCTCAGGGTTCAGGGCTCAGGGTTCAGGGTTCAGGATTTATTGGTTTTTTTAGGGTTGAGGGTTGAGGGTTTAGGGTTTAGGGTTTAGGGTTCACGGCTTACGGCACAGGCTTCCGAGTTTAGGGTACTCTCTCACACATGTCTGGCCTAAGCCCTAACCGCGCGCAACAGGACATTGTCAGGTAGACGAGTTCTGACTCCTGACGTTTCGTTAAACCCTAAACCCTAAACCCTAAACCCTAAACTCTAAACCAACTATGGACGAATTATGGACCTGTTTTGGCGGCCTCTTTCTAGCAAAATCCCTCGTAGCTTCGGGCCTATAGGGTAAGCAAGAGGAGCCAGAACTTCCCCTAAACCCTAAACCCTAAACCCTAAACCCTAAACCCTAAACCCTAAACCCTAAACCCTAAACCCTAAACCCTAAACCCTAAACTCCTAAACCCTAAACCCCCATTTGGGCGCATTCCAGGGAATGCAAGCCCCACGGCTTCGACGCAAGGCAAACATAGGGTTCAGAGGCTTAGGGTTTTAGGGTTTAGGCTTTAGGCTTTAGGCTTTAGGCTTTAGGGTTTAGGGTTTAGGGTTTAGGGTTATTAGGGTTAGGGTTTAGGGAACATGAATCAGCAACAGAGGGCATGTGAATGATTTCTTGGCGCGCCGATGGCCAAAGCCTGACCCATAGCCTCATCAAACAATTCGATGAAGTCGGAAACTACAAAGGGAATTGAGTACGGTTCCTGATAAGGAGCTGTTAGCACACGGGGAAACATCCCAACCCCAAACCCTAAACACCCCAAGCCCCCAGGAGGCAATCAAAAATCTCCTGTGCTGACTTCCACCCGAAACCCTAAGCCTTACAAACCCTGAACCCTGAACCCCGAACCCTAAACCCTAAACCCTAAACCCTAAACCCTAAACCCTAAACCCTAAACCCGAAACCGCAGGACAGAGGAGAAGAGACAGTTTGGCATGCTCAAGCGCTTTCTACGCCAGAGTCGCATCCCGAAGGGCTTGAGCCACCTGGCAGAAGTCTGTGCTGCGGGAGGGGGGGTGGTGGGGAGGTTAGGGGGGTTAGGGTTTAGGGTTTAGGGTTTAGGATTTTAGGGTTTAGGGTTTAGGGTTTTAGGGTTTAGGGTTTAGGGTTTAGGGTTTAGGGTTTAGGGTTTGGCCTTTAGAGGGGAGGTTTTTCACAATCTAAATGCGTCAAGCCACCCAGGAAGCCCGCCAGAACTACTCAAACAGCATCGAAGGATAAGCCCGGATGAAAGATTCTAGCCATAAACCCTAAACCCGAAACCCTAAACCCTAAACCCTAAACTCCAAGGATGACCTAAACAGGTCCTCTGAACCCTCAAAAGTCAAGCTACCCTCCCCCCCCCCCCCCCCCAACCAAAAGAGAAGCACTTGGGGCAACAAGGAAGTGCAGCACTCTAATCGGCAGTGTTCAAACATGTGTTCAAGAGGTTCAGGGTTTATATAGGGTTTAGGGTTTAAGGTTTAAGGTTTAGGGTTCATATCTGGGTCTCCTTGCACCATGAACCCTAAACCCTAAACCCTCAAACGCGGAAACCGACAGCTTTGCAGCATTTTCCCAGTCCTCTGATTCTCTCAGATGAGCGGATCATGCGGTTCCTCCGCTACGCCTACCATGAGAAAGCGCTGACCGCCCAGGACATTGGTTCCGAGCTGCAGGTTTGAGATTGACGTGTAAGGTTTAGGGTTTAGGGTTTAGCGTTTAGGGTTTAGGGTTTAGGGTTTAGGGCTTTCCCCCCTGGCGCTCAAGGCAAATCAGGATTCGCCCGCACCGCTTGGACCCAGACTCTGAACCCTACAAGCCCTAAGCCCTGTACAGTGGCTCTTAGAGTCACGCTTTAGGGTGGTAGCACTTAGAATGCTAACCCTTCTAATGGCCACCTAGAAGAGTTCCCTAGCTTTCAAGCTTGTTTTTCATGGTACTTCTATCCCAATTATGACCACTTAAAACCCAGTTACAAGCCGCTTACGTGCCCTAATCTGGACACAATTGGGTTATGAAGTACACTTGTGATTATTGGCTTAGTAAGTGCCATGAACCTCCAAGTAGGACTCCTATTCAGGGTTTAGGGTAGGGCTCACGCTTTAGAGTTTACGATATTTGGCCCCGAATGCTTTCTTAGACCTCCTCGGTGGCGCCTACTTCCCTAGTGTTGCACCCTGTTTAGTAGGGGCCCCCTCTATAAAGTCAATTTGGTTGGGTTATTCAGGACACCCTGACTGTTTGGTGGTGCAGACCAGGTCCCTCTTTGAAGTCAAGTCGACCGGGCACCGTAAGAAAATTCCACGCCTCGCGCCTTTAAAATCAATTGCCGGCATCGCTGCCCCTTTCTAAACTCCTCCCTATCGAAATCATACAAACCCGCGGGAGCGTTTAAACAGGAGCAAACCCAGCCTCGACTGTTCAGGGGGGGGGGGGGGGGTGGGGCAGACTAAAGAGGGTACAACATTACCAATCATAGGTCCCAACTACAGAATGTTGTAGGCAGTGTATCAAGAAACATGACAGGTCTAAGTTTCACAGGTTAACTTGCGCCCTCCCCCCCGCATCCCGAAACCTTAAAAAACCCGAAACTCTAAGCCCTAAACCCTTAAACCCTTAAACCCTGAAACTCTTAACCCTTAAACCCTTCAACCCTTAAACCCTTAACCCCCCTAAACACCTTAACCCCTAAACCCATGCTGCTTGGAGTGAGAGGACTATCCAACCATCCTCGACCCTAAAACCCCCTTAAACCCTAAACCCTAAACTCTAAACCCTAAACTCTGAACCCTAAACCCTAAACCCACAACTTCCAACTCCCTGAGGACTATCCAACCATCCTCGACCTCTTGTCGAAGCCGCTGCAGGCCGAACTGGACTTTGCTCGGTACAAGGCGGGTCGAGCTATTTGGTTCCGAGGGTGCAGGGCCTCGGGCCCTAAACCCTAAACCCTAAACCCTAAACCATAAACCCTAAACCCTAAACCCTGCATAGGGGTCCGGGGCGTAGGTTTTGGAGTTTAGGCTCTTTTGCTCTAGGAGCGGCCCTACGCCCCTCATAACCTCTGGGCACCCTGGACCCTGAACCCCCTGAATCTCCAAGCAGATTAGGGTTTAGGGTTTAGGGTTTAGGGTTTAGGGTTTAGGGTTTAGGGTTTAGGGTTTAGGGTTTAGGGTTTAGGGTTTAGGGTTTAGGGACCCAAAAGCGATCAGAATTTTCAGGTTTAGCATGTGTTGCCTTAATTTCTTCAGCGGCTGTTAGTTATTGACTAGAGATACTAGGATTACGACGTTTAAGGCTTACAAGGGTTTAGGAGGGAACCTGCATTTGAGTACCTCAGCGCCAGAGGGTACCGTGTGTCGGGTATTCCGGGTATCTATGAGAGGCTGAGTATGCAACCTTTAACCGCTAACCTTTTTTTGGGGAATTCCCTAAACCCTACACCCTCAACCCTCAACCCCCCTAAACCCTAAACGCTATGAGTTGGACTTAAACTCATGCTAGTCTCAGGACCATTGCAGTGCACCTGTCGCCCTAGAGCCTTCTTGTGTATTGTAGAACCCCAAAGTGTCGTTTTTTGATTGGTCGCCCTGAGCCCTAAACCTTAAACCCTAAACCCAAAAACACCCTGAACCCTAAACCGCCCCTAGGATCCACTAAGATCGTAAAAGTTGCTGGAGGGGCCCACGGTAGGCGGTTCACAGGGTCGTTGGGCTGTAGGGTATGATGGGCTTGCTGTTAAGAAAGAGTTCAACATTGTGGTCTCAAACCCCCCAGGGACCACTCCCCCCTAAACCCGAAACCCGCAACCCGAAACCGAAACCCTACACCCTAAACCCTAAGCCCTAAGCCCTAAACCCTAAACCCTAAACCCCCCCCCCCCCCCTCCCCCTGCTCCTGTATCTCCCGGAAGGCCTACATCTTCAGCGTACCCTTCCTGGAGCATCTCCACTCGTCCGCAGCAGGCGCTGCAGAATGCAATCCGGCATCTTCCCTAGTAGTTCCTGGGTCTCGGAGTACTATACTTTAATACTTGTTTTGGTTCTGGTTTCCTATTATCGTCACTTATACCTAAAAAGATCCTAAAAAGTATATAATTTGTTTCAGGGTCTACTCCAAAGCTAAGGTTCCTCATTTTTGTGGCATCTAGTCACCTCATTCTGTTCGTATCTAGAAAGAGTTTTCCGAACCATAAGAACACACGCGCCCCCTCTCCCCACCACCTAGAGAGGAACTACGATGCTTTAGAGGTCTAGGTCGAGGCTATGCAACCTTCAACTTGTTTGGGTTTTGTTTTTTGTGGTTCCCCTTAAACCCCAACGGTTATCCTTTTTGCTTGGTGAACTCCACCCCCTACTCGCAAGGTGTTGTTGTTTAGGTTCAAAGTGGGTCTAGCTGTACGGTTTCGTCGATGCTTGATTTCGCTTTCCTTAAGCCTGAAACCCGAAACCCTAAACCCAAACCCCTAACCCTAAACCCTAAACCGCGTTTCCGACTGGAGGACTCCATGCTGGAAGGGTGCTGCAGGAGATTGCCAGAAAGGCAGGCGCTAAGTCCCTAACCCAGGACCATTGCACTATCCTTTTTTAAGGGTTTAGGGTTTAGGGTTTAGGGTTTTGGGTCTAGGGTTTAGGGTTTAGGGTTTTGGGTTAGGACCCAGAGTAGGCCCTTATTCCCGTGTTGCTTTGGCTTCGGATCCCTTGTAAGACCCTCTACACCAACAAGGGCACCTAGGTTACTCTTGGGTCGAGCGACGTCGCCTAGAGCTTTACCCACCGAATCCCCGCACCCAAGTTGTTGCTTCTGTTAATGGCCTCTTGGTCCGTTCTCACCCTATCAGCGAGTGTTCGTGCAGGCGGTGTTTCTTGTGGATGCAGCAGAGGCAGAGATTGTGCCTCAGCCGGCAGCCAAAGTGGTCCCGAAGCCTCCTTCATCCCCCTCCCACACGAAGCAGGGCTTGTATTACTGTTGTTGGTGAATATATATATATATATATACATATATATATATATATAAAACGTTCCCTTTTATATTGGTGAGTGTATATACAGGGTGTCCTTTTGGGGGTACAGGAAATATATACCCCTCCTTCATATGCCTTGTGGCCTCACTCCACTGAGTGCAGACGCAACGGCCCGTAAAAACCCGAACCCTTCGGCTCAAAGAAGCCCCAAAAAACCTTTTACAACGAGGCCCCTGGTCCCAAAAACCTGACAATAGAAGTCCTCAGAGCCTTATAGTCAAGGGCTTAGGGTTTAGCGTTTAGGGTTTAGGGTTTAGGGTCAAGGGCTTAGGGTTTAGGGTCGAAACCTTTCCGTCTGCGGCGTTGAAGTTCCCGGTCCGGCTGCAGCGTCTGTGCTAGTGGGGTTCGGGGGGCTGGCAGCGGGGATCTGTTTTAGGAACATGTTCAAAAAAACATAAATTGCGAGCTTGAGTTGTGCTTATGAGGGTCTGGAGTCTTGGCGTGTCAAGTTGATGCTAATTCAACCCTAAACCCCAAACCCCAAGGTTTCGGTTGGGCAACGATTGAAGGATTCAGGACGCAGTCTATCGAATTCAGGAGCCCAAGGGGGGGCCCTCCTTCTTGGTAGGTACTCTTCTGCCCGTTTATTTCTTCAAGGTTCCCTTACCCTAAGGGTCCATGTACCTCACTATTATGCACTTGGGCCCTAAAGTCCTTATATAGGAAGTGCTTTAAGGCCCAAGTATTCCTTATTTAGGTACATGGACCCTTAGGGTTACTTCTCAAGTATCCAACCCAAGAAAGGATTCCCTTCTTATAGTCTGGCTTTTGGGCTAGCAAGCCTCGATATCCAAATGACATGACTGCCCGAACCTATCGTGAATAGGCCCCTGTAGCATGGTGCAATCGCGCAGCCACTGCCAAGGTGTTCTGCAGTGGAGGCATGGCAGACGCCTGCTTCGTGACCATCGACGGGTCTTTGAAGTATACGCAGGGAGACGCTTGGAGCGGTTTACGGGGTGTTGAGGGTTTGAGCACTAAAATACCTAAAGTTTTACAGCCAGAGCAAGCCCAGCAATCCCCCGATTCTCCGGAGCCTTGTGCATGGTCCCTTTGTCATAGCTGGGTAACCTTTTTTCATTTTTAAGAGTACTTAATCCCCAAAAGGAATAGATTTTTTCTTTGTAGTACGATCCCAACCATGGACTAGGTCCCATGTTTTGTTTGAGGAAGTCTAGCTCGATCTGGCTGTGCTGCGCAGATGCAAGCCAACCCTAAACCCTAAACCCTAAACCCTAAACCCTAAACCCCAATAGTCATGGGAGCCGGGCCATGTGTGTGGGGGGGTGGGGGGTGTGGGAGGGCCATCGAAGCCTAAATAAAAGGTACTCAAGAGGCCGTGCCGGATGATGTCTATGTTATCTCGGCCTTGTTTCTGCTTTATTTCGGAATAAGGTACAAGTATGGCAGGAATGAGGCACTATTTCTGGTTTAATGAAATAAGGCCGAAGAAACAAATAAAAGCAGAACGCGCACAATGCTGAGTCCCAGTCGCTGTGGTGTAGAGCCACACAGCTGCTACTTCAATGTTGTTTTTTTAAGCCAGCGTGACCCCCCCCCCCCCCCCCAACCCCCTTTGTGACCCCCCCCCCACCCCACCCTTGCATGTTACATGGCCCTAAACCCGAATCCCTAAACCCTAAACCCTAAACCCTAAACCCTAAACCCTAAACCCTAAACATGAGTCGAGGAGAGCTGCACGGAAGCCATTGCTGCTGGTGTTCTAATCTCTGAGATGTGCTTCTGGACATACTGGCACCACGCTGCTGGGACTGCAGCCCTTAGCTTGACTGCTTTTGCGGCTTAGGGTTTAGGGTTTAGGGTTTAGAGTTTAGGGTTTAGGGTTTAGGGTTTAGGGTTTCAGATTTTTGGGTTTAGGGTTTAGGGCTTATTGCAGTACTACCGTATCTTACTAGACCCTCCGACCTCCCGCAGCGGTAGAACTGTCTTAGAGCCCCTTGCACCCCACTGCAATCGAGAGTGCCTTAGAAGGGTTTAGGGTTTAGGGTTTAGGTTTTAGGGTTTAGGGTTTAGGTGGTTACTCATTGTCACTCTAAGGGTGGTTACGCAGTCCCTTAAGATGGTCCCTTACCTTCTTCAAAGGGTTCTGAAGTATGGCTCCTTGACCTCTATAGGGCATATATATATATATATATAAGGAGTCCCCATTGAAGGGCCCATTTTAAGGGACCATGTGAACTACCCTTTGTCGTCTTCTGGGGGGCCTCGTGGTCCCCTTCTCAAAAAGCCTCAGCCCTAAACTTACAGGGCTACTTGGAGGAACTAAACCCTGAACCCTAAACCCTAAACCCTAAACCCTAAACCCTAAACCCTAAACCCAAGACGGAGGCACCAGGTAGTGGAGGACCAAGCCCTGGATGGAGCCTAACAGCCAAGGGAGCGGGGTGAAGTTCCAGTCCAGAAGCAACCTTAGAGCCTTAGGCCTTTTTGTTGTTGAGGGTTAGGGGTTAAGGGTTTCAGGGTTAAGGGTTTAAGGGTTTAAGGGTTTAGGGTCTGGGGCTTCGGGTGTGGGACACACTCACAAACAAAAAAAAAAAAAACAACACAACAAAAACACACCACACACACCACACACCAGAGACACCACCACCACACACACACACACGACACACACAGACACACCACACACACACACACACACACACACAGACAACACACAGACACCACACACACACAACACAACACACACGACACACACACATACACACACACACACACACACACACACAGACACACCACAGACACACACACAGCACACACACACACACACACACACAGCACACACAGACACACACACACAGCACACACAGACACAGCACACACACACACACACACACACACACACACACACACACACACACACACACACACACACACACACACACACACACACACACACACACACACACACACAGAGACAGACAGACAGACACACACACACACACACAGACACACACAGAACACCACACAGACACACACACACAAACACACACACACACACACACACACAGACACACACACACACACAGACACACACACACCACACACACAGACACACACACACACAACACACACAGACACACACAGACACACACACACACACACACACACACACACACACAGACTCGACATTGAGGTCGGAGACCTGATCTCGGTGACATTCTCCAAGCTGGCAAAACTTGATGCCGAGACGGTCTGCAAGCGCTTGGGCAGGTTGTCACATCACCCCTTAGGGTTTAGGGTTTAGGGTTCAGGGTTCAGGGTTTAGGGTTTAGGGTGTGTCAGGGGAGGGCGCGCGCTCGGGTGTGAAACACCCCGGGCCGCGCGCTCGCGTTGCCCGTCAACCCACCCCGGCCACCCAAACTATACTCTATTAGGGTTTAGGGTTTATGGAATTTACTTTCTTGTGCTCTGATGCTTGCTTTGATGTTTTTAAAGTTGCGCTGTTAGGGTTTAAGCTGGGGTTGGGGGTAGCCTCGGCCCTTTTCGGGCCTTCGGCGTGTCAGGGCCCGTAGAGGCCCTTATTTATTTGAAGGTCAGGGAAACCCTTTGTGTCTGCTCTTGGATTCCCCTTCTTTAAGGGCCTCAATTAAGCATCGATTTCACTACCAAGAAATCGCATTTTTCATTGCGGGTACGGGCATCCTGGGGTCCCCCTTCTTTTAGGGGGCCTTGTGAAGCCTTTTGAAGCATTTTGGTGGCTCTTGGGGTCTCTCGGGGCCTTGTTCGGACCTTCGGCGTGTCAGGGGCCGTAGAGGCTTTATTCATTTAAAGGTCAGGGAACTTATTAATGAGTTTTTCGCCAATGAGTATTTCAATCGCTAGGGTTTAAGCTCGGGTTCGGGGTAGCCTCGGCCCTTTTCGGGCCTTCGGCAAGTTAGGGCCCGTAGAGGCCCTTATTTGCTTGAAGGCCTTGGCAGGGTTTTGCGGTGTTAGGGTTTAAGCTGGGGTTCGGGGTAGCCTCGGCCCTTTTCGGGCCTTCGGCACGTTAGGGCCCGTACTTTCTTGTGCTCTGACGCTTGCTTTGATGTTTTTAAAGTTGCGCTGTTAGGGTTTAAGCTGGGGTTGGGGGTAGCCTCGGCCCTTTTCGGGCCTTCGGCGTGTCAGGGCCCGTAGAGGCCCTTATTTATTTGAAGGTCAGGGAAACCCTCTGTGTCTGCTCTTGGATTCCCCTTCTTTAAGGGCCTCAATTAAGCATCGATTTCACTACCAAGAAATCGCATTTTTCACTGCGGTTACGGGCCCGGGAGGGCCTTGGCCCTGGCACCTTGGCCTGCCCCTTGGCTCGGGGGACCTTGGGCCAGGGGGCCCTTGGTGGCCTTGGCCGGGGCTTGCCCTTCCGGGGGCCCTTGGCCTCGGGGGGCCCTTGGGCCGGGGGGGCCTTGGCCCGGGGGGCCCTTGGCCCGGGGGGCCCTTGGCCCGGCAGGCCCTTGGCCTGCAAACCCTTGCTTGGCCCAGGGGGCCCTTGGGCCCCTTGGCCCGGGGGGCCCTTGGCCGGGGGGCCCTTGGCCCGGCAGGCCCTTGGCCCGGGGGGCCCTTGGCCCGGGGGGCCCTTGGCCCGGGGGGCCCTTGGCCCGGGGGGCCCTTGGTGGGGCGGCCGAAAATCGGACCCCAAAATCACGAAATTGAGCAACCAGCCTGCCTGGACTGCCAGGGGCCAGGGGGCCCCCGGCGGGGGGGGCCCGGCAAACCCTGAACCCAAAACCCTGAACCACCTCCAGAGGCAAAGGGTTACGATTTGGGGTTGTACTTTAGCTACGCTAAAGGTGGTCTGGGTGCCGGCCATCCCTTAGCCGAGTACTGACGTTGTCGTAAAAAAGGCCGATGTCCGTTGGCCTGTCCAGGACAGACGGTGAGGCTTAACCCTCACCTTTCCGTTTCTCTTTTCGCTTGGGCGCTCGGGCTGTAAGGCCCTCGGCCGAGCGTTCGGGGTCTGTCGCTCGACGGAAGCGACCCCTCACTTAGTTTAGGGTGAGACCTAAACCCCAAACCAAACTGTCACTGTCACATCACCCTGAAACCTAAACCCCAAACCAAAAAAACCCTAAGCCCAATAAACCCTAAGCTTGTAATACCTAGGCCCTGAACCAAAGACCAACCCCCCCCCCCCCCCCTCTGTGCAAGTTTTGACTGAAAATCCATGGCTACCCAAGAGTCTGAGGAGGTGTCAGAGAAATAGGCTTTAGGGTTTAGGGTTTAGGGTTTAGGGTTGAGGGTTTAGCCTTCGAGCAGATTTGGGGATCTTGAGGGCGAGTTTAGGGTTCAGGGTGTAGGGTCCGGCTCTAGGGTTCGTGGTTGAGGGTTCACCCTAAACCCTAAACCCTAAACCCTGAACCCTGAACCCTAAACCCTAAACCCTAAACCAACATCCACACAGCATCCTGGGTTTCTAGAAGATTTGCCATCGCACGCCCTCAAACCCTCATCACTTATCCCTAAACCCCCTAGAGTGACAGTGTTCATGAATGCCCATGTTTTTTGCTGCCCTTTGACGCGAGGTCAGGCATGGAGCAGGTGGGGCGTGTTTGAAGTACAGGCCCATGCGTCCCCAAGCCCTATAAACCCTAAAGTCTGAACGTATAGATCTTTTTTTACACAAGGGTTCCAGCCGTACAATAAGCTGGCCGAAAACAAGCAGCCCGAAACTCTAAACAACCTTCAACACGTCATCGCTAAAGACTCCTAAGCATGCACCCTCCCTCTAATTCCTCCAAACCCACAAGACCCTACAGTGCAAACCCTGCAAACGCTTACAGCCTCTGAACCCTACAAACCCCATAAACCCCATAAATCCTCTAAAACTTCCCCTATAAACCCTATAAACCCTACAAACCCTACAAACCCTATAAACCCTTCAAACCCTAGAAACCCTACAAACCCCATAAACCCTACAATCCCTAAAGATCTTACAAACCCTAGAAACCCTGATCCTTATGAACCTTAACCCTACAAACCCTAAAGACCCTACAAACCCTAAAGACCCTGATCCTTGTGAACCTTAACCCTACAAACCGCATAAACCCTACAAACTATCCTACAATCCCTAAAACCCTGATCCTTGTGAACCTTAAGCCTACAAACCCCATAAACCAGAACAAACCCTAAAGACCCTACAAGCCCTAAAACCCTGATCCTTGTGAACCTTAGCCCTACAAACCCTAAACCCTAAACCCTAAAGACCCTACAAGCCCTAAAACCCTGATCCTTGTCAACCTTAAGCCTACAAACCCTAAACCCTAAAGACCCTACAAGCCCTAAGACCCTGATCCTTGTGAACCTTAGGTGCATCAGCCCCGCAGTGGAGCTCCAGAACGAGGCATCGCGCTACGCGCGAAGGCTGGGCCTCGGCTTTCACACACGATGTTTACTAGTAGGGTTTAGGGTTTAGGGTTTAGGGTTTAGGGTTTAGGGTTTAGGGTTTAGGGTTTAGGGTTTAGGGTTTAGGGTTTAGGGCTAGGACCGGCAGGAGGCCGTTACTTCCTTTTTTCGGGTTGGGGCTCCCTTATAATCCCCTTAAAAACCAAAAAGGGTACCCTTTGGAACCCTAAACCCTAAACCCTATACCCTAAACCCTAAACCCTAGTTCCACAAAATGCCCTGCAGGTATGTGGACGCCTTAAACATGGAGGAGGAGCTGTCAGACATATGGATGTGCCCGGAGAGCTACCTGGCAGTTTACTCGGGTGCCCTTGCCCTTGGTTGCTTTACGACCTCCGGGAAGGGCTAGATCCCAGAGCAATCCAGGAGGAGGAAAGGGTACCCTTATTGTGTTCCAACGGTTTCGGGTTTAGGGTTTAGGGTTTAGGGTCTAGGGTTTAGGGTTTAGGGTTTAGGGCACCCTTTTTCATGCTAGGTTGCTGGGCCACCTACTTGGAAGCCCTTTTGACTTAGCAAGTAGGATTAGTAAGGTGGGTTATGGGGATTATACTGGGTTTTCTATCGCATCCTAAGTAGTCTTACTAAGTCAAAGGAGTTTCCAAGTAGACGCCCTCCATGTGTACCTTGCGCTACAAAGGCCAGCCGCCGCCGCCACAGCCGTCACGATCCCTGATGCCGGGCCTGGGACGCACCTCTCCTGGTCTCAGTTAGGGTTTAGGGGTTTAGGGGTTTCGGGGTTTGGGGGTTTAGGGGTTTAGGGGTTTAGGGGTTTCGGGGTTTAGGGGTTTAGGGGTTTAGGGGTTTCGGGCCTACACCCTAAAACCTGAACCCCACAAGCCCTAGACCCTAAACCTTCGGAGGGTTTGGGGGTTTAGAGTTTCAGGCATTTAGAACTCAGGGAAACTAGTGTTCAGGGGTTTTGGTGGACTTCATGGGTCTTCTTAGACAGGTTAGGTGAAGTGAAGGGTTTCGGGTCTATGGGCTTAGGGTTTTTGCAGGGTCTAGGGTTTAGGGTTCAAGGCACCATGCACTTAATCTACCCTGGTAGGCTCTAGCGGTTTATGGCTATGGGGTTTAGGGGCTTGGGGTAGGGAGTGTGAGGGTGTTGGCCGTCCTGGGGAGAGGGATATAAATAGGGGGTACTAGAATCCCTATTAAGGAGTGTTTAGTATAAGGGGGGAGCATCCGGAACATCCCTCTTTTGGGGTCTATAGAGTGCTCGCCTGAACCCTAAACCCTAAACCCTAAACCCTAAACCCTAAACCCTAAACCCTAAACCCTAAACCCTAAACCCTAAACCGCAGGTGTGGGCCAGGTGGGCGTGAGTGTCGCCTCGGGCCGATCTTGGCTTCGCAGTTTGTGGCCGGCACGTGTGTCTCCCGGCCGCGAACTCTTCGAATAAGGCGGGGGCACCATGAAAGAACCCCCCAAACCCTGGTTCCTCAATCATGAGAAGGATCTACATAAGAAACGGTGAAGGTTACTTGTCCTTGAATCTAGGGGTTTTGTCTTCTATAAGTGGTAGCAGACCCACACTGATCTCTGAAATCCGACACCGGGCATAAACCTGAATCCTACAACGCCTTCCGTTTTCAACCGGGAATGCGAACGGGAATGCGATAAACCTCATATTTAAAATGCGACCCGCCAAGCATTGAGCTCTCTACTTACATCCCGTAAGCCACTTTGTCGCAGGTCCGCTCAGCGCATAGAAATGCCCGTGATATCCTTCGCCAGCGAGCTTTCAAGCGCAGCTGCTTCGCTGCGTCTGAGGTTACAGGGGTTGAGAGATCGACTTACGAGGTTTCAGCGAAACGGTGGAGTCTAGTGAATCTGGTCAAAAAGCTCTCACTACCATGTGCTTAAGAACCTCCAAGAATGAAAAAATGTTAATCCCTATATTCCCCTTATAAAGAAGAATATTTTTGGAGGGTTCTTAAGCAATTGGTAGATCAAGTCAACAGAAACACTTTGCCTGTCAACGTTAATTACTGTCAATTCTTCCTCATGCAGGCGAAACAACGACTGTTGGTAGTGGGGGTAGTATCTGTCTTTGCTACGGCAATAACATGAAAAAAAAAAAAAACAACAACAACACAGAAGCATACCAGCCGTTTGGGATTTGGGTACTTTTGTCGCAGGTGGCGATGGATGCATTGGCTGCCTGTAAATAGGGTTACTAGCCCTAAACCTTAAACCCTAAACCCCAAACCCTAAACCCCCAAACCCTAAACCATAAACCCTAAACCCTAAGCCCTAAACCCCCAAACCCTAAACCCTAAACCCTAAAAGCCCTAAACCGGTCCCAAAGCCTGAGCACGCCAATTCTTGCACTAGGTGGTCGAGCATCTGAGAGCTGTTTCTGGTCCTTTTCCTGAGGGTCCATGTACCTACATAGGAAAT